CAAATGTTTGCCATTTAATAACCAATTGAACAGTTGTGAGAAGAACTGTTTGTGAATTCTGCTGCATTCAGGGACATACAGCTGCGGTACCAACTGCTAATGGATACAGGCAGACAGCTGTGAGTGATGAAACCTAGAGCTGCAAGACAACTGTAGAGCTGATCACTTCGCCCTCCCTCCTTTTTCACTTGAAAAAATATGATTAGCATAGATTAGTTCCCAAAGCCTGTTTATAATATCTATAAAATGATAGGACATAGAACAAAGCTCTTTCAAGCATAATTCTAATGACTTTACTTCTTTAGGGGTCAAAAGCAAGTCAAAGAAAATCAATGCCCATTTGTGTTGTTGAAGCTGAAGCATACAGTTCATTATTCAGAACTGTTAAAAGAGTCAATCAAAACATTTTGGCATACAGAAAAACTAGAAAAAGCTATCTCACATAATTATGAATGAATATATATTTAGCAATTGCAAAACAGCAAAGTATTTTAGAAACAATTCTGTAATTAAGAATCAGTGCTTCATATTAAGACAAATATTAACAGCTATATTAAGTATGAATATCAAAATTTAAAAATATTTTTAATCTTCCCAAGTTTTAGTATTATACCTGTTGAAATCAATGACATTTTTACACTAAATTTAAAAAAATAGCAAAATAGTCTTTAGACCAAGAAAGAATCAGAGGATGCGATTACTATCACTCATGATAGTCTGTCATTTGTACAAGACAATGGAGTTCTCTTTAGTTTTTGACAGAAAGCAGAAGAAATATGAATGTCATAAACAGCACTCCCATTCTCACTTCTTAATGGTTAGCTGTTTTTTAAATAAATTGAATACAAAAAGTGGAGGGGAAAAGGCATGTGGTTTTTCACTCAAATAGCTTTTTATTCACACTTAAATCTGAGTCTATTTGAATAATTTTACCAAAAAGCAATATAAAATGTACTTAAAATGCCATTTCTAAAGGCCATCTTCAACATGAAACCAAGTATACTGTTCACTATTTGAAAAAGCACATTAAGAACGAACAAAAAATAAAATAAAGCCAAACTTCCAAATAACCTGATAAATAAATTGTTCCTCCTCTGGTCTTATCTCAAAAGCTCCAAGCAATGAACACTTCAGAAGTGCTTCATGCTTGTCAGCTTTAAAAGCACACCTTTGAACCAAAACCTCAACTTACCAAGGAATGAACACCCAAATCTAAGAACAAGGAACGAATTTCATAGGAAAAAAAAAAAAAAAATCATCCTGTTCATCATTTCAGATGATAACCACCTGCAGAACTGAGCAATCAAAGAATTGCACCCACAGCATCCCTGAAGCCATGAATTCTTTCACAGACTCAGCATCCATGCCAGTATTAAAGCAGTAAAGCATCAGTGCCTTCCCTCAACCACATCTTGCAGAGAAATTTCAGTGCCTGTTGAAAAGCACCCTGTGAACACCAGTGTGGGACTTTCGCTCTGCTCCAAGTTTTATTCCACACTGGGAACATCCACTGCCACCCTCAGGGCATCACTGTTTCAGCTGTGCTCAGTTCCTGGCATGGGGGACCTCCTGCTTTTCACAGCAAAGCCTTTCATAAACCATTATCCATTCCTTATCTCTGAAGTGCCTGAATTGCACAGCAAACTGTGTCCAGCAATATTGTTTATCCATGTTCTGGCCTCATGTGCAAAATCTTAATCCCAGTTTATAGAACATTTATTTATGTTAAATAAATAAATATATTACATATATTTATATATGACAGTCAAAACTATTGCTACTCTCACATAAGTATCACAGTGAAGAACTTTTATGGTTTTGCCCAACATTATGCAAAACAAACCAGAGAACGAATCATAAAATTAATCTCATCCCAAACACTCTACTTGATTAGTTTTTCTCTACATTACTTTAATAAATTGAAGAGAGCAAGTACTCAGGAAACAACCCAGCCCTTGGCTGCTGCAGCACCAGATTCATCATACAACAGAGCGTTCCACCTCTTTTGGCCAATTCGAGCTAATTACTGAAGAGAGTCCCAAACGACAGTGACAGCCACAACTGAAGTGTGCAGTGGAAAAAAGCTTTGTTTCTGTATCACATAGCTCCTCTTCTTCATAAGAGGTAGACACATCACCTACTAAATCCATCTCCCAAGACTAAATCAATCTCTCAAGATGAATAATGGTACTTACTTGAGCACTTCAGAGGGAAGAACTGAGATCAGACTACAGCTCTTGTTTGTCTTAATATTCAATCTAAGATTAATAAATTACACATTCAACTGGGTTGGGCTGACTA